GACAGTATTGTGCCCGAGCAACTGTTCTCTTGTCAAGTGATCCGGACCTAGAAATTGTGGGACTATCGATGTGTCTAATGCCTGTACTATGGAGTGGAAAGTTTTGGACACACTTGACTTGGAAATTCCAAAAAGAGAAGAACACTGACTCCAGGAAATGTCGGTTTTCAGTTTTACCCAGAACAGTAATAGAGCATCGTGTGTAGTCTTGGTATATATACCAGATGAAAGATATGGGGAACAGTGCGAGTGGATTTCGAGGAACTGATCTTTGGACCAACCTGTCCAGGCCATGCATGCCGAGTCATCAAGAGAAGAAAAGCTTATTGTAAACGCAGACTGGTTCTGTGAAAGGACGTGCGACACCTCTAGGAGGTCATTAATGATTTCGGACGATTTTGATGGTAACTGAGATTCCAAGGAACCTCTACCATCAAGGACAACCTCTGTAGACGGATCTAAGTCGTTACCAATAAGGTGAATGGAGCAGACGCGGGATGAGGTGGGACACCACAGTTTGTGTGAATAGATCAGGTGATGTCTTGCACGTTTTGGTAAGACTGATGATTTTGTTCCATTTCTTGCAAAGGTAACAAGACAGAGACAGCATTTTTTGTGTGAAGATGATCCATTCAAAAGATCATGAAGGGTCAGCAACGGCAGGATATGGGACGGGGAGTCGTCTTCTTCCTCTATTTCCTGGTTCTGCTCGGGTTCAGGTTCAGGCTGATTTTTGTTCCGAAGATACTTCATGTAGCACTTCTGGCAAATAAGTGCTTGTTCCTTTGCTGACATCAATCCTTGTTGCACCAGCGTATCTAGGAGCCATTTATATTGTGGACTATTTACATTGCGTGCACTTCTGTTCTTATTGCCACTACGTTTCTTGAAGTATACTTGACACCCTTCTCCAACACATTTACCCTCCATCTTGAAACAATAACGATTGGTTTATGAAGCGTCGATAAAGTAACAAAATAGCAAGCCACCGATGATTGCTGTAAACAGCTAATACTTAGTAGTTTGGTACAATTATGCGAAAATGTGTGATAAATAACGAACAACTAATTACACAAAATAACAAGACAATATAATAAATCACATTCAATACCTCCAAGAAGCGCAGAATTGATTGATTACTTAGAACAAAATAAAGTATTTCATATGGATAATCTATCTATTCGATGTGGCGTGGTCGGCAGGCACAAAGAAAGTGAGACAAGTCAGGGTCCCAACCCTGACAGAGCCACAACGCTTTGGAGATGGGACAATAAAACAAGGAAAGTGAGACAAGAATAGCTAGCGTCGAGTCAATGATTCCGTAAACGTATAGACAAAGACAAGAAGATACGGATAAATGTACAAGGCCACACGATCAGAAAATTCAGAAGAGGACAACTTGAGATAGAACAGTATTCATGTATCAGGGTGTCCTCAGTGTAAATCTTTATATCGATACTGTTTATTTAGTCGTTACACATCATAAAACTGTCATGAAAATATCCGCTCTGATATTCAATATAAAAGTTTGTATATAATAAGCTATATAATAGGGTTTCAGACAAGGTTGTTACTCATTTCCCCTTTTCTTTCAATTTACAACCACATTCAGGCGGCGATATGAGAACGTTCCACCACATGGAATTAGCTGATTTTTGGTACACATATGAAACAAGTAAAGCTCTATCCGATTTTCTGATGGAAATTTGCATCCAAAACTATATAACGGGAGAAAATTGCAATTTTATGGCATTTTTCTTCATAATTGTGTCTCTGCAAGTGCATTTTCATCCGAGANTTCTATGACATATTCTAGGAGTGCTTAGAGCATACGTGAGCTTAACCCCTGGATATCGAGGATGATTTAAGCCTTGACGGGAGATTAAAAAACACTACTACAATCCTCTTGTTATTGATTTTTTATGTATGAGTAGTTGTTTTCAGTAAAGCACAGTAATAACGATTACAAATGCTTCATGTATCATATAATTACAATGTATAAAATCCATCAACAACCAACGAAAAGTAATAATTGTATTTTTAATTGAATATTTGATGAATATGCTATATTGAAAAGAATTTTGTTAATACTAGAACAATTACCTTGAGTGTCCTCTTTTCACACTGCGTTAAGAAGAAGTCGGGTCATCACCTAGTAATAAACGAAACGGTGTTGCATTGTAATAAAAACAATCTTTCGATAAATATTTTCTACATGTTAATAGCTGAGGTAGATTGATTAGGTTTGTATAATCACACGACTCGTATATGATGAGGGGTAGGTATATATGTAACGGTGTGTATATCACAGAAGGGATCGCAGAAGGAACCATCGACTTGTCCTCTTCTATAAAACTGTGAAAGGGCTAGTAGCTGTACCTGTAAACCAAGTCTTGTTTACATCAAACAATCGGACCAGAGCAAAGAACAGTGCAAAACAGCGTTAGTGTAGTACTGACACTTACATGAACTCATTCTCTCCTCGTACCATCACTGATTAGAACAACCTTCCAGAAGATCTGGTCAAAACAACTGACTTAAAAATCTTTGATACTTTATTGCCAGCAAATTAGATCCAATGTGCACTCCTCCAACCCTGGAAATATACTCTATATCGAGGTTCTTCCAGTTCTTTACAGAAACAGATAAAAACAGATCAATGTACAGGCAGTACAAAATACCCATTCGTACCTCTGAAGTGACATCGTGCCCGACACATATATGTGTGACGTTAATTTTTTATTGATTTTGAATTGATTATAAAATTATTATTTGGGAAAAAATACAGCATACAGGCCACTTTATTCCACACATTCATATAAAAGTACAACGGAAAGATAGACTGCCTCCGTTAATGAATGGTCTACGAAATATTATGATCATATTTTATATAACTGTATAGCACCCTGGGTATATCTAGGAATACACGGTGCTTAACGCTCTGTACAATCAAGGTGCACTGGTTTAGCAATATATTTTGTAAAAAAAAACACCTAGAATTATTACTGTATTGGTAAATGTTAATGCATAAGTTTAATCTCTTTCGTTTTTTCGTGAGCTTAGCAGAACCATCATTTGTTTGACGGCATCGATATAATTCTATATCATTTAACAGTTGGCTTTCAACGGTTGCAGAAATATCTTGATCATCTAATTATAAACAATAACAATATTCAATTTCTCGTTGTTTTGGTTTTTTTTCGTTTGTTTGATAATTCATTTTATCTTTATATTTTTTCGACCATTCTTGGCCTTGCTTACCACTCCTGTGTTGATGGGCTTTTAAGCACACAATAATGATATTAAACTATATATATTGCTTTTCCGTATACAATCTAAATATAACCAAGTGATACATTCAACCTTACCATCTCGTCATTTCTCTTGATTTTTATGTCTCTTTTCTAAACATTCTGTTGCTTTTCAATAGGGGTTCATGTGTGATCATTCTATATATAACTACATGAGTGACGTTGGCAGTCAAATCACAAAAGAACGTTTTTTAACTACCCTTTTAATATTTGCTTTGCCATATTTTGTTTACATTTGAATTTTCCTCCAGAAGACAACCGTTAACTTCCGGAATATCCATATTAATCAGTTCTCTGGTAAGTTTACATTGTCAAGCATTGTTGCGGTGACGAGTGATTGCATGCATCTCATGTTTGGAATTTATTAAGACAAATTCATTGTTAATATGCCAAAGTTATTACTTTTAATGCATGTCTTTCTTAATCTTATTTTTGATTTAAATGTACTATGAACATATCCAGAAGTAACCCAAACTTTAATTTCCCATTTTCATATCATTTGATATGCTGCATGCGTAATCAATAAAATTTTGTAAAACATGAATTACGTATCATATCTTCTAGGTAAGTGTGTGGTACATCAATATGTCCCATTCGTTGTAGGTTGAACTTACCAGAGCCATCGTTTTTTTGGAGTCCTCGTAACATCATTATGTCATATATGTAGTCATTCATGATTTCAATCGGCACTAAAAACACGTGAATACCTAGAGGAAAATATAATCATAATCAAGATTTGAAAATGTATTATCATGTCCAATTATTTTTCCTTATTTTCAGTAATGAATATATATGTGTGTAACATTGTTCAATCAAGGTATATGTACATTATATAGGTAAGTATCATTCGAGTGCGTCTTAGATTTTTCTTGTTCTATTTTTTCCCTTTCCCAACAGATGAAGATAATTATATATTATAACGTGACGAATTGTAACAGGTTATGTTAGCATATAAAAAAAATGAGATTGTGTATCGTGACGTCATATTGCCGTACAGATTTTATTGAAAAAATATAGAGTGTAAATAAATCCTCAGAGTTCATTAATCTAGCCCCTTTTGATCTCTTCCTGTGTTACTTTCGATGACACTTCTTTTATATTATCACTGCTAAGTACTTTATATAACACTGTCATACGTCTTACCCTCTGAATAATATCTTTTAACAGAAAATATCACACCATATTTTACCCCCTTAATGCTAGCAGTTTATGTGTGGGATTCCCATTGTTATTACAGGTATTCCATACCGACAATTGTAAATGTTACCATTTTTTCCATATATATCTATTAATATAATATAACATCGTATTAGAATAAATGTTCACTGTTCAATACAAAATCAGAAAATCTATAAAATAATTAAGTTTTCCTTTTCCCTTGCAACCTTTGTTCATAAGAAAGGTAGATCTAAACAGGTTTAAACTACTGGTGAAACAGAGGGGAAGGTGCCAAAAAACACGTTATTATTAGAATTTAGAAAAATTCAAATAAGTATTACTGGTTAATGTAAAATTAATATTGAGTGAAGTGTTGATATTATGAACCATACTTCTACTCAAAAGAGATTAGTTTGGCTTGTATCAAGGGTACGGCAAAACTCGGGGACAAAGAAATCCACCAGCAGCGTCTACCATTCGCACTATATACAATTTAAACCAATAAATACATTTATGTTGTACATCGGAATATTATATGTTTAATCGTCTATATAATTACGGGTAAGATGTGAAGCTGAAAGATTCAGGGTCATACGGTTCGAAGTAAATCGAGCACACCCATACTAATTATGTCAAGGCAATCAGCCAATCAGATATCCAGATTAACGTCATGTGATATCAACATAAAATTTACAAGGTGAAAGTATTGCTCGGAATTTCTTTGTTCAAATTAGCTGTTTTATTTAGCATTCAGCGAGGATATTGCACATACTTTTATTGCCGTATGTTACAAGATAGTGTTTTGAAGTGACCCGTGCAGTGGATTGTCAAGTGGGGCTGTGTTTGTGGCCTAATTAAGGTTTTCGAAGGAGGCTGACTGCAGCGGGGACCAAACACAATGGCTAATTAGGTCACCACGGCGTCACTTATGACCTACGACCTTCGGAGAAAAGTAAACAAAGACATGTGCTATGAAGGTAGTGATTATTGGTCACTCGTTTGTTCGCCGTTTACGTGAACTCGTGGAGAAGGATTCAGATTGTGCAAATCTAAGACTTGAAACGGATAAGTTTCAAGTAAACTTCCGAGCGCGAGGAGGACTGACAGTGCACAAACTCAGACAGCAAGCTGAACTCCTGTCGTTCAATCATACAGACTTGGTGTTTCTCCAAATCGGGGGTAATGACTTATCTACCCTTTCTCCATATCAGGTAGCCCACAGTATTTTTGACATTGTCGAACATATTCTAAATGTAAACCGAGCAAGACACGTAGTGGTTGGACAATTATTTTGGCGGTCCCCTGAAGCCACCAAAAGTGATTTATACAACGACAAGGTTGTAAGGACAAATCTATTGTTGTCGGAAGGTGCACAGTGTAGTCGCCGGATAACATTTTGGAGACATAGAGGGTTTTGGAAAAAGACCTTATCTTTTCTGAGTGTGGACGGGGTCCATCTGCATGTCCAGGCACAGAGGAAATACCTCCAGAGCGTCAAGGCTGCTATCTTAACAGTTGCGAAGACTATTGACTGACAACCAGCTGGAACCAGGTATGATGTGCTATCTAAAGCATAGTATTATGCACTGCTTTTATGTCATTGTGTTTCGCAATGTATTGTATAGTTCATTAACTCTGGATCTGCCCAGTTAAACTTCCAGTATACATATATATACCACCATAGTAAGTGTACTATACATGTATGTAACACAGTGCATGTCCAGGTTATAACCAGGGAATAGTTTGATACATTCCTAAATTCCCAATATATTCAGGCACTAGGTTTGGTATGTCTGCTAGCTGGAGTAATATAAGGCAATATTTCCTAGATATATAGTTATGGCCTGAAGTACAATATGACACCCACGGGCCAGGTTATTTCAACATTTAATTGATGTTGACAGGGGTTCCATATACAGTTACAGACATGTCCATCTCTCTAGATCTGTATATAGTTCATGGCAAACACCACTTTGTCAGTAGCATGGGTGCAGGTGTGCAGATATATATCTCTATACCTGGGATGAATTTACACAATTACTTGTACATTGTACAAATGTAACTCACCCCACAAAACATCATTTTGTATTTAATGCATGGACAGATCTAAGGTTAAACCATTCAATTTCTTAATGACCTTCCCTAGACTATTGGATGTTTATATTTACATGTTACTTCACCAATGTACAGTGATACACTTAAATTTATCTGATGTACAATTTCTTCATCATCTGGTCAAAAATGCCAGTGCACATGTCTCACACATATAAATTCACCAATAGTCAAGTGTTATGTTCACTGTTCAGAACTATGTAATAGTTGGGTGTACAGTATTACACCATCCTGAAAACAGTTCCAGTGTTTTACAACATTCTTACAATATATTTAGATCAACAGTGTATAGTATTACACTGTAATAGTACTATACCCTCTGGGCAACATTAACCATATTTATTTAGTGTTATACACTATTTATTTCATCAGTGCAAAAGTAATACACTAGATTTATTCTATGTGTATTTACACCACATAGCTAATGGTTCTAATGTGAGCAATTTTATTTGTTCAGTGTACAGTATTACACTATAATGGTTCGGTATACAGTATTATACCAACTCAGACATGCATCTGGTCAACAGTACTAGTGCAACACACTATGTCATCAGTGTACAGTATTACACTGTCTTAGTTCGGTATACAGTATTATACCATCTGGTCAAGAGTACTAATTCTACACATTATTGTTTTATCAGTGTACAGTATTACACTGTAGATGTGTTTGATGTACGATTTTACCCCATAAGGATCTTTGTATTTATTTATTTCATCAACGTACAGTATTGCGTTGCTTATATTCTTGAGTATAGATTCACATTATCTGGTCAGTCAACTGTCCTAGTACTCATCTTTCTATTTTTCATTTTGTTAATTCATCTTTTGTTGTATAGTATACAGTTATACTACACAATGCCAATACGCATAATACTCACCTAACACCACTTACTAGTTATATTACATGTATGTATTGAAACTTGCATGTACACCATGTCAGGTTAATTGTTATAGCCTCATACGTGTTATTGTAATCATAATACACAATTTAATTTGTACAGTGCTCTGTACAGTGGCATACCACTTGCATTAATACCTTGTGGTATAATTGAGGCTTCGCCATACAATTATCTTGTCCGGTACATATACGTATACACAGTACATGTCTATTATTATGGATTTAATTGGTGTACCCTATTAATTATGCGTGTACATGATTGACAAAAGTAGGTACCACAGGACATGTTTCAAGATTTTTGGTTCTCTTAATCCTTTTTCAGAAAACAAAGATCAACCTGTCATGGCTCCCAAAAACAAAAAGAGAGTCTCATCAGCCACTGAACCTGCTATAGGGGACACAAATGTCAGTGGCCCAAAAAGACGAAGAGCCTCTCCATCCAGTTCTAAGACCAGTGGGTCCCACTCCCAGTCTCAGGAGGTGCAAACATTTGATATAGACTATGACAAGTTGGCAGCAGCAATGTTGAGGCAAATGGCACCAAGTCAGCGAGCCGCTCTTGATCCTCTGGCCATGGACATACACACTGTGGAGGAGGCTGTACCTACAAGACAACCAGCATTGGCTACAGCGGTGCTTCCAACCGCAGTTGATCAACACCCTACCTGCCAGACCAACCCCATAGGCCCCAATCATTTGCCATTGGTTGGTCAAAACAAGGACATGAACAGTGGTTCCCCAGTGATGTCTTTATTAGAGAATCTGTTCGGGAGCAAGGGTGAGTGTACGGATCCATCCACAAACACAAACAGTTCCTACATTGATCTGTCAGCAGGAATCCCTTTAGGTGCTGGGGTCTCTGATAGACTTAGAAATAAAATATGGGGGGAAGAGTTTATAGATATGAAAGTGTTGCTCCCAACATATACAGAGGAGCCAGTCTCTGTACATATTTCAGCTGGTTCCCTCAACATAAGTCAGGGACAAACCCAGAAGCAGCAATTGTCCATAGATCAATGGACAACATGCTTCAACACCTTTATTGCGATTTATATAATAAAATCCCCAGAAGAAGCAGCAAACCTATTGAAGTATGCTGCGACAATCCGCGACCTTGCAAGCAATCATGGTGATGTGGCATGGAGACATTATGACGAAACATTTCGTCGTCTCAGACAAGCTCATCGTCCTCCCTGGCAAAAGCCAATAGATGAGCTATACACTAAAGCAGCTAACCAGCGGTCTTTTCGTGGCCAACAGCAGCAAACAGCAAAGCGGCCACAAAATGTGCAACGGGCACCTCGTCAAAAGGTCTGCTTTGCCTACAACAGAGGGATGCCATGCACAGCATCCCCATGTAAATACAAACACCTGTGTCAGATCTGTTTTGGCAACCACACCAAAGCAAAATGTTTCAAGGCCAAACATGGTACCACCGGTTACCCAGCAAACAAACAGGCCAGTCACCAACCTTCCAACACCAGTTAATCATGAAGTTCTCAAATCAGAACTCGTTGGGTATGACAGTTCTTCAACTGCAACCCTTTTATCAGGCTTTCAACATGGTTTTTCAATTGGTTATGAAGGAGGGCGTGCTAATTTATATTCTAAAAATCACAAATCAGTCAGAGATAATATGAAAGCAGTATCGGAAAAAATTCAAAAGGAAATGCAAATGAATAGAATTTCGGGACCATTTACAAAACCCCCTTTTAAGCCTTTTATTTGCTCTCCTTTGGGCCTTATCCCAAAATCTGTCCCCGGGAAGTTCAGACTTATACATGATTTGTCATATCCAGAAGGAAATTCGATCAATGCAGGAATTTCCAAAGAAAAATCCAAAGTCACTTATGATACAATTGACACAGTTATTTCCCTCGTAAAAAGTTTCGGAACAGGTTGTTTATTAGCAAAGACAGACATTGAAGATGCTTTCCGTATTATACCAATACATCCTAAAGATTACCCTCTCTTAGGTTTTACCTGGGAAGACAAAATTTATTACGATTGTTGTCTACCCATGGGAGCTAGCAGCTCCTGTCAGATATTTGAATTGTTTAGCTCTGCTTTACAATGGATTATGATGACAAAATACAAAGCAGCAGGTATGTCCCACATTCTGGATGATTTCCTATTTGTAGGCCCCCCAGACAATCCTAAATGCAAACAGGATCTTCAGTCATTCTTATCCTTGTGTGGTAGGTTAGGGGTCCCTATTAAAGCAGACAAAACAGAAGGACCTACCACTATTATCACAATTTATGGTCTAGAAGTAGATTCCATCAAAATGGAATGTAGGCTGCCATTGGAGAAATTGGTGAAAATGAGGCAGGCTCTACAAAACATGCAAACCAGGAAAAAAGTTTTGCTTAAGGAGCTTCAGTCTTTAATAGGACTATTAAACTTTGCCTGTTCTGTTGTCTGTCCAGGTCGTGCATTTCTGCGACGCCTGATCGACTTAACAACTAAAACAAATAATCCATCCCATTTTATCAGGTTGAATATGGAAGCGCGTGCAGACATGAGGGCCTGGTCTACTTTTTTAGACGGCTTCAATGGAAAGTCTGTGTTCCTAAATGACATATGGCTGAATTCTGAACATCTCAAAATGTATACAGATGCATCAGGTAGTCTCGGTTACGCAGGAGTTTTTGGAAGTCAGTGGTTTTCCAAGCCCTGGACAAGCTCCATGGCTACATTTCAGATTACAATCAAAGAATTGTTTCCCATTGTACTAGCATTAGAACTTTGGGGAGAGCAATTACAAAACAAAAAAGTAGTATTTATGTCTGATAATATGGCAGTGGTAGAAGTTATCAACAAACAGTCCTGCCGTGAACCAACCCTTATGAAGCTTGTACGTCGCTTAGTGGTCACTGCATTACGGTATAACATATATTTCAAATCGGCCCACGTGCCTGGAAAACAAAATGTTATAGCTGATAGCCTTTCTCGTTTTAAATTCCAGGAAGCTCGCAGACGAGCACCATGGCTCAACAATCATCCCACGGTAGTACCCACCAACCTACAAATGCTCTAAGCGCGCAGGCATTGCGACTACTTTCTGCAGCTACAGCAGACAGGACTAAAGTTTCTTATCTTCGTAGTTGGCAATTGCTTGAACAGTTCTTACAGCCTAGCAGCATCAAATTACCCTTACCTGTTGACGTGGTTGGCAACTTTGTTGCTCATTTATTCAGCAACAAATACAGTCCTGCCACCATTGCTACCCATGTTTCAGCAATAAGTTATGTCCATAAGATACTAGGTCTAGAAGACATGACTCATTCCTTTCTCATAAGGAAAATGCTAAAAGGGTGTCAAAAAATGAAAGGAGTCAGTGACTCCAGACTTCCTATTACCAAAGACATTTTGTATAAAATTGTGAATGCATTGAATTTCGTTGTGAGTGACCCACAAATTAGACTCCTGTTACGCACACTTTTCCTGCTGGCATTCAATGCATTTATGCGCCTAGGAGAACTGGTGTGTAAATCCTACTCTGAATCAGATAAAGTCCTTCAACGTTCAGATGTCTCTATAGCAGAATCAGATGAGCAGGGTCCAGCAGTTAATATGGTTCTGCGTCACTTTAAGAATAACACAGATCACCAACCTATTTCACTTCATCTTGTGGCAAAGGATGGGGCTCTGTTGTACTGTCCAGTCAGAGCTGTGAAGCAATACCTTAGTGTATTTTCACATACAGATGGCCCTTTCTTTCAAATGGCCAATGGGCTGCCTGTCACATATGTGTTTGTAACACAACGACTCACTGAGGTAATCTCTTTTGTGGGGCTTGACCCAACTTTATTCAAGGGTCACAGCTTTCGGATAGGAGCTGCAACAGAAGCAGCCAAAATGGGCTATTCGGAAAGTGTTATCCAACGAATGGGTCGTTGGAATTCCAATGCTGTTCAACGATACATCCGTATCAATGCATTTATCCTGTAAATTATTATTGCCCTAATGAGGTCTGCTTTTGAGTATCATTACTCAGAGGGCTGACTCTTTGCCTGCTCTGATATAATATAGCCAATCATCACACAGAGGTCAGGATCTGCCTGCTCCGATGTTTTGATAATTATTATGCTGAGGCCAGAATTTGTCTGCTCTAATCATTGCAAGGAAAATTTGTGAAAACAATGTTTTATACACAAGTAACTCTAAGGTCAGAATTTGTCTGCTTAGATACCTGGCAACCCAGATAAAATGTTGGAATAAAACATAACTCCAAGAGTTCAGAATTTGTCTGCTCTAACCACTGAACAATTAATTGTTGGAACATTGCACATTTAGCTCTAAGGTCAGAATGTGTCTGCTTAGATCACCGTAAGTCTCAATGGGGGAAATAACATAAGAGAGGTCAGAATTTGTCTGCTCTGAAATCTGTTAAAGTAATCATGGGAACAACCATATAGAGCTTTAAGGTCAGAATGTGTCTGCTTAGATCAACAAGATCATTTTTGGGAAATAACTCCAGAGGTCAGAATTTGTCTGCTCTGATAATTGATTAGTAGGTTAGTGAGGGATTAATTGTTACTCAGAGGACAGGATTTGCCTGCTCTGGTATTTAGTCCTCAATATGAACTCCACTTTCTTTAGCAAGATAGTTGCGTTCAGGGTTCAATTATGTTTTGGATGGGTCCCGGTGTGTGAGAGTTTCGTTTTGTTGTGTTCTAATTATTATTTGTTTTATTGTTTTTCTTTTTTTTTCTTTTCTTTTTCTTTTTCTAATTATGATAATGCATGTATCGTAGCTGAGGCCAGCAGAAGGCTGCTTACTACATAAGAGTGATTAGATCTAGAATGATCGTGTCATAGGGTGCATATACATACACACCTACTATGTCACAGCATTATCATGATTAGTACCTGTACACATTTTCCTTAAGTTCTTTGTAAAACCTTCAGTATAGGTTTTGTTTAATTTTCCCATAGTGTCACAATCTATCTCGGACACGACTTCGGGTGGCGCTGGACTGGAGCGATGTTAGTTAACATCATTCCAGTCCTGTGGCGTATTCTCGTGCTCCACCTTTTTGATATATATTTAAGATATTGTTTATGTTTGTAAATATGTTTATGCAACATGGTTGACATTGTTGTTATCCATGTCTGCCATGTTATTCGTCATTTAATAAAATGACATTTACTGGATATATTTTATTCTTTGTTGTTCTTGATGTATATTTATCCAAAAAACTAGCTTCAGTCGTGATCGGATGATCGTGATGGAGATTTATAGCATAAATACAATTTATACCAATAAATACATTTATGTTGTACATCGGAATATTATATGTTTTAATCGTCTATATAATTACGGGTAAGATGTGAAGCTGAAAGATTCAGGGTCATACGGTTCGAAGTAAATCGAGCACACCCATACTAATTATGTCAAGGCAATCAGCCAATCAGATATCCAGATTAACGTCATGTGATATCAACATAAAATTTACAAGGTGAAAGTATTGCTCGGAATTTCTTTGTCCCACCATCCCACCCATGCAAATTTTAGCTTCACATTCTAGGCCCGCATTGTTTGGTAACAATAGTTGGATATATTTAAGTGGCGTATTCTCGTGCTCCACCTTTTTGATATATATTTAAGATATTGTTTATGTTTGTAAATATGTTTATGCAACATGGTTGACATTGTTGTTATCCATGTCTGCCATGTTATTCGTCATTTAATAAAATGACATTTACTGGATATATTTTATTCTTTGTTGTTCTTGATGTATATTTATCCAAAAAACTAGCTTCAGTCGTGATCGGATGATCGTGATGGAGATTTATAGCATAAATCATAGTGGTTCCTTAAGATCTGATTTGTAGAAACCAAAATTACAATAAATCATTACAGATTTATCAGTGCTTCATTGAATCCTGTTCATATTTTCGATAGAGTAAATTCATGCTTATAGATTCAGTTTATGTACCAGATCTTTTGATAAATTACACGCGTAATTAGCTTAAAAGTCATACGGATGCTTCCACTAAGTCTGACAACACATACCTTCTCCGTCATGTATAATCGGTATAGATTTCGCAGTTACCAGGGGAGTCGTCAAAAGTAGCAGCAGAAATAACGATGTATTCATCCTTGTAGAGTTATTACATACAATGTTGTATGATGTGAATTCCACAATGTCGAAAGAACTCTCGGAGATGAAGTGGTGGAGTGAATGTATAAACAAAACATCAACAAGCTGTCGTCAGTCACTTCCAACTGTTACAAATTTTATTTTCTACATTTAAAACTAAATTTGGGAAATGTAGCTATTTCCACCTTATCTTCTTTATTTTTATGTTGATTTTGTACATTAATACTACACTTTTTGAAATTTATTTCTGTTTAACCTCTTCTGTCGCATTAATAGATTTAACATGTAAATATAGATCAGTCACTCGAAAGTTGGACGAGAAGTACAAACAAAACAATTATATTAACATCATTCTAAACAGATCTAATATGTCTATTTATAACATATGTTTATGAGAGTGTTCCTATTGATTTCATTAAACGCACATCATGGCATATATTTAAACGCAAATGTTTTGCATACCCTCATAGATGTTAAAAAGATTCATTTCAAACCTTTACGCTCTATTACATTCACCTTTACTATTTGAAATGAAGAAAAATAGCCTTTTTCACGTAAAAAAATGCACCGTCCTGAAAACAACATTAATTGAACAGCCGTTTTCGCATTGTCAGTGGTGATGAAATACACAGTTAGGTAACAAATAGTTCCACTTTGCATATTCTTAATCATTTAATTTACATACCAGCATGTTGAACACGCATTTATTATCTTTAAAATTGACAGAAGATCTTGATTTGAAAAAAAAATAGGATTTGCTACACGTATCATTCCGGCTGTTGCTAATGAGCTTGGCAATTTTTGATTTTTTTATGTTATAGGCATTAACAAAGGTGCTTTGAATGACAAAGAAATACAAAGTAGATTACATTCTAACATGAATATGACCACATGGTAGCAATATATGAAAACTGTTAAAGAAATATACGTTTAAAATTAAATCTAAAAAATGTAGACTTTGCTACGGCCATATAGTTCCCTGTTACAAGGACGTTTGTCTCATAATCTCTCTGCCGGTACGGTTTGTAAATGAATAATCGTTACGTATTTTCCCGCAAATACAGATGGTTGTGGAGGAATTTAGGTTGTCTTACCGGTAAGCTAGGTAGCACATAGAACGAGGAGTATTATATCGAAGTTTCCCCCATCTTTTAGAGAACGATACACTGGGTGATTTACACACGGCAATCTTTACTACCTAGAGGGATATACTGCATTGCATGTAACAGCGGATAATCCAAGATTATCATGATCGGGGACAACAGTCAATGTTTAAAATGTACATCATATCTTTTTTCAAGGCATTTAATATTAACGAAATACCAAGTGCGCATGCCCGATCTTCTCAAAATGCATTCTGAAATATAAGGTACATTTGTCTCGAAGGTGTAAACGTGCTAGAAACCCAGGCTAAAAAATATTCCGTTTAGCCATGTCTATTTTACCACCTTGCTTATAAAAATAATGTTATAATAAGATATATCAACAGAAATATTTTGTAACAGTCAAACAGTGGTTGGTTTGTCGACTGGCGCAGTTAATGTCGGGTTCAGGTGGCGCAGGCGATGTGGTGGTCAGGTGGCGCAGTGGATAGTGCACTCGCCTTTCACAAAGACGGTAACGCTTCGATTCCTCGATCTGACGTAAAAATATTTGGGTCACCTGTCCAACCAGTTGCATGGTTGTCTTTCTCTATTTCGCTTTAAGAGGCTATTTTATTTCTGTCAAAATGAATACAGATAATAAAATTGAATGCAATGGAGGAAGTAGAATAACTGAAAACCATGTCACTACCAGAGAGTTTAGAATAATTATTTATTTGAAAATCGACACGATTTTTGTTTACATATATTACCAAACCTCAATAATGTTGAATGTAAATGATATATAGTTTTATTGACTTGTTTAGATTTCATATATGTTCATGTCTTTCGAATACCCCTTTTAAGCTGACACTGCATTTGGAACAACTAACAAACATTCCTAAAAACAGCTTTACCGAGACACTACAAGGTTAAATAGAATGTCTCGGTCATATTTGTCAATGTACTGTATGTGTGTCTATCCTCCATTGGTATATTAAATGCCCCAATCGTAATCTCTATATTTCGATCATGATGCATTCGATTTCAGCTCCGGGGATGAGAAGCAAAAACGTAAATAGTAGCAAAAATACCGTTAAACTGTAAACTATTAATAAGTAAACATACCTTACACAATGACATGTACTTTATACAATCGTTGTTAGATAAACATGACATACAAGGAATTAAATTTAACAAATATACAACATTTTGATGTAGTTTGTAGGAGATTATGAGTAAGTAGTTCGATAAATTCATAACCAACTATCAGATAAGGGGAATATTCTTTTGATTGTACACATAATTTAACTTCACAAAAGGAATTGTTCATGTACAGATTTTGTATTGTGCAAAACTACATATGGCCATTATTAATCATGCGAGGTTCATCAAGATATGACTTGCGGTTTTCGAGAAAATGGTTGGACAATTTCACTACGGAAGAAAAAAGAATAATAATAACAAAATAAGAAGAAGAAGAAGAAGAAGAAACACAATATGTCCCCCACTCCGTTTGAGGGACATTATAAAAAGACAGAAGTTTGTGTTGATACTTTAAATATCACTGATTTCGGCTAGAGCCCAGAGCGATACGAAAGTTACACAAGAAATAAATTATTCAAGGGAAATAACTCTTACATAAATCGCAACTATATTTCATAAAAGGAAACTAACATTTTTGCGTATGTTTACTTTATTAACAGGTATAAATTAAAAGGGTACAAGAACACCTGATACTAAACAACGCTTGTCCGGGTTTGGATGTAAGTGTAAAATAGTAGCACACATGTATCAAATAGATAAATCAACTTGTATACACGATATTGTTTCAGTTAGGATATCAAAATTGCGTTGTTATGGATATTATACTGCGACATTAGGGACAAAAACATGGTAAAAATATAGGGAAAAAAATGTAAGTTATCACTATCAAAATATACAGTAAGCATAAATTCTTTATACAGAAATCTAGGACATGCATGCAGCAAACTGTATGAAAATGATGAATTTTTAATTGTGCTGGCCTGATATCAGTTTGAAATGAAATAACGTTTATTGAAGGGAATACTTTATAATATAATATATACTTAATGAGTTCAATTAGCTCTGTCGTAATTATATAAATGTGAAGGAGGTAGTAGGCAAGTACATATCAACTGAGTTTTCCTTAAACACGTCATTGTATACGAACAAACTGAACTTCATGATAAAACTTTTTTTGTTATAAAAATGTTTATTATTTAGGTCGCTTTGGCGTATCCAGTTTAACAGTCTCAACCAGCTAAACATGAAAGATAACGGCTGGGGCAAATTTGATTTTAGGCTTACCTCTGAAAAATTCGGCATTATCAAGGGGTTCGGTCCTGGCCCAAACTAAAATGTTGACTATCGTTAGTGTGGATTATTTTTACATAAAATAAGTTCGATTTTCATATATACTTGAACATGTTATCAAATGTATCACACGTTAAAAAAATCACATTGTATGGTTGTTTTTTTTAATGTTTATACGTCACTCAGACTCCGAAACTATTCAGTTTAAGCTTTGACCATCAGTTCGGCCTACTTTGATATTTGCGGAAGAAAATCTATAAATATTGTTTTACATACTTATTTATTTATCATGAAAATGTCTTCAAATCCGTTTCTAGTAAAGCATCTGAATGTATTTATATCGATGGAACAATAAATAGATAAAGCAAAAACGTTGATTAAATGTGACTTTGAACGTTTTTCGTGAGTTCGGGTGCTCATGAGAAAATGAGCTTTCTGAAATGGAAAAAAAATTGTCAAATGCCATACTTACAAACATTATGTACTTTTTGTACTTTTTTGTAATATATAAACATAATGATTGTTTCAGTGATGTTGATAATGATTTCATTGTAATATATCTATGTTTTTTTTATATCGTATGTTTGTATTGGAATCCCCAATCATTAGAACACAAGTATCCATGTAGAAATCGTTAAAGGATATGAGCCATTGTTTAGCTTGTTGACAATGAGTAAGATTTCCCCTTGTCGCTATGGGTATACAAGACGAACAGAAGGTGTTGAGAATTGCTGGCATTCTCTCGGCAGTCCTACCCACGTCCCATACTCTTGGTTGTGCAAGGATTCATATAGGGCTTTTTTTGCAACGCTGGTATCGTTTAGATACATTTTTAGTTTCCAAATAATCGTCTTTGACAAGTTCCAACAAGCCTGCACTCCTACATATGTTTTCATAGGACCGCAACATCCCTTGTTTACACAATCTTGAGTAACCCCTGGAAATCATAATAAAAAGGAACACATGTGTAGTTTCGCATACAGAGCTGGACTCGTATACAATGTAGGTAAAATGACAATCAGAATGGGCGTTCTATAGAAACAAATGTGATAGATGTGCCAGCAGGCTAAGTAAAATACTAGAGAAATATATTTTTATTTAGAATACCATAGTCTTTATTCCCATCGCTGACTATATAATGGAACAATCAATATTAATATATATCAGAGTGCCAGCAGTACAACAACAGAATATCAATAATGTAAATACAAAACAGCACACACCACGGAGTAAACACACGTAGATAAAAACCTTTAAGACGAATTAAACATAAAAAGGCAAAAAATATCAAATATTTACCGATGTTGATTGATTGAATTCATTACAAAATGTTTCAAACTATATGCGTCGGTTTTCCTTCTTTTTCATTTAGTTGTGTAAATTGGTATCTTTCTTTGAACATACAGTATTTAAATAGTTAAGTATGTTGCATACGTATTCTATTTAAATGCAGTTTATATTATTTATGTTAATAGCATTGTACCTTCTTTAATTTCATGCAAAGTTCTGTGGTTTTTTAAAATTTACCTTCAATTCCACTGTCAATGTAAATCACCAAGTTAAAAATATTATAACTATTTTTGTTATTATGAAATTGTGCTTAAATCATGTTCCTCAGAAGTATTCCAAAAATATAATCATCTAGTGAGATTTGTTACACATTTAGAGTTGTTCGTAGTTTGAGTGTTGCCAATAAAAACAACCATAAAAAAGATACATACACACTGCTTATCCTTCACGTAACATCTGTAGTAGTCAAAGGATTATAAATTCACAAAACTTAATACGGAGAATATGAATACCATGACAAGGGCTGGTACTCTAGGTCAAAAAGTTTCCTTAAAACTCTGAAGTAGAACTCTCTATTTATTTAGTTATTCGATACCTGTTATTTTAAGCACAATCAAAAATCATGTTTTTATTCAGTTTCAATAATAGAATATTTTCCATCTCTCTTTCACATCAAATTCTTAAGTTTTGCTGTACAATGATAGTTACATATGTATCATATTAGATTTATCTAACATAAAAGTCTTACTTATGTTTTGCAAATCCGCTGCTGATGTTTGGTACGCCTGTTGTTCCATTAGTCAGTTCAGCGCATTCGTCCGCACTGTTCCAGTTAATGCAAAGTTTCTTTGATTTCTCGACGCTTCGTCGTGGGTTCTTCTTTCGGGAGACAGCGCCAAGTAATGGATGGTTAACCTTATAACCATCTGGTAATGATGGAACTCGGCAGCCCTTTTCTAGTCTGCAGCACATTGCTCGAGCTATGTGTCCGTGGTTGTAGAAAGTTCCTTAAATGGGCATATTTAATAAAACTTGTATAGAATATTCATGTTCATAATATTTCAAATTTTCTTTTTTATAAAACAAATGTTGTTGTTTTTTTTTATAAAAACGCACTTAATTTCTTTCAACCGTTATAAATTTGTTTCAAATGCTTAGTCTTAGTCTTATTATCCATTAATAAAGTTTTGCTTTACATCAAAGCTACGGAAACTTATGAGGTACAGGAAGTCATATTTGTTCATAGCAGTTAGAAATATTAAAAGTGTATATAATAACAAAACCGAAGTGGAGAACTTTAAGGCGTATTCATGTCTTGTTGGTTTGGTCTCAAGTAATGGAGTACCAGGGTTACAGATCGTATTGTTACCTAGGGTTATGGAGCTGAAATACACAGGTTTCATCTGTGTAGCCAGTAGCGCCCCCTGCATTCCTAACAGGTTCCACTTGCAGATCTTGTCACTACAAGACATGACACGCAACCGTTCTCCACGCCTCACATTGTTCATGTCTTGGTACTGGTGACTTTCGCGAACCTTTTTAGTCGGAGGCATCCCTTCACCTGTGTAGTAAGTGAGTTTATCTCATCCAAACGCTACTTGAGGAATGGTAAGTATTCTTGATTATGGCGTCTATGTTCAATTGGGTTTATTTCTAGAAATTGTGTATGTCTGTTCGAAGTATTGTAGCAGTATCAACATGAAATATTAAGATATCCCGGTATGGTCCTATTTATGAAAAGAGGTTCTGTCTGGAATTTTCTTTCATATTAGACTGATGATATGAGTTTGATTTTTTTTCATATTTACGAGCATCTGTCGTATGCATTCAATTAGGCGAAACCAGCGTAGCTAAAGGGTTCACTACTCGCGGTTATAAAGAAAAGATATGTTATGAATTTATTACCATAACACTGTACACAGAAGTCATATAATACAAATAGAGGATCTTACATGAGTGACCATGTCATTTAATTTGATACAGCACTCTCCGTTATAGCATAGACACTTCAAACACAAGTGAATGTTATCAGCTGACCCTTTAAACAGTGTAGATTAAAAACTCCGATCCTAGTATGGTCGTTCTGCGCAGTGCAAAGTGGTGCCAGATTTTTTTAATTTTTGATGATAAACAGTTTTAAATGCAATGAAAATAATTCTAATTATGATTATTAAAAAAGCAAAATCTCAAATTCATCTTAAATAACAGTAACTGTATCATGTGGTAGAGTAAAAATATTTAATACTTGTAGGAATATGTTTCCATGCTTTTGACCAATCGCAGCACCTTTAGGCTTTATTATACGTGTGAAATACATTTGTATGGCATGGCCGTATGACAAAGTAAATTAGGCCCGTTATGTGATAAATATAATTATCCAAAATTTTGATATTTGTATGGACAAATGGTAACTGCCAAAACTCGTTTGCTGTCAATATAGTATATGTATTACCGTTAAAGCTTAATTTTAATGTAAAGAACCATAAACACGTTATAACAAATATAACATAAAATTACTGTGCTGCAATATGTCGGGAAAACAGTGATGAAGGTAGCAGTCGTAAAGTTCTATAAGTACTATATGTACATTGGCTTGAAAAGATTAAATACGTGGACTGACTTATAGTTATGTCAATTATAAACGTGCAAACCCCTCCCCGACTACTACTTTTCTCAACAGAAGCAGGGTTTAGGCTATGTTTACGTCATTATTAGCGAAAAGCGAGTATAACTTCGACAGGGTAAGGGGTAATGTTACTCTAAGCCATCAAGTAAAAGCCTTGAAATACTTAGTGGTAGAACCCTTGTCCTCCATAAGCGTATTCCATGGACCTAAGGCGTCATCGATGTACACTTTCGCGTTATTGCGCTGTTGATCTGATTCCAGTTTTTATTTATTTTTCTCACCGATTCTGTCTGCCTGCATGGTTGACCACGTGTTAACAAGGTTATCGCCATTACATTGTATGTGTCTGTTCATGCTTAACGTTAGGTAAATATCGATTTTTTTTACGGCGCGTAAAAAAATAAAATTACATCTGTATTTTATTTCGTTTCACTTCCTGAGTGTGGTATACTCGAAATGTTGATAACTTTTGCTTTGTAAGATAAATGAGAAATGTCAGATTTATCATGTTGATAAAAAAACTAAGGTTAGCGGCACGGTTCCTTTAAGTGACAATAACATGATTAAATATCTACATATCCCCGCTGACAGAGACCTGATGACATGGGGGAGTTTAAATAGCCTTGTTGTAAATAATATACATATCATCCTTGTCATACATTACTTTGCTCCAATTTTGTCCTCAGCAGCCCTTGTTTATTTTTAGCAAATATAGGCTTGTGACTGTCATCATGTTCTTCTTCTGACTGGCCAGAACTGAATATAAATATATATATAAATAATGATCAAAGGAATGAGAGACCTGCTACAAATGTACCTGAATGTTGCAATAACTGCTTACTGCTTCAAATTGCATTTTCTGTTTCACTCCTGTGAAAGTGACCTTGCATTTTTTTATTAATAATTTGTGTTAATTGCACTGGAAAGTTTACGATGGATCTTAATTAAGATATTAAATCAGATAAATGTTAACGTTTAAAGGACTTTTCAAATAAAAACAACCTCGGCTATTTACGAGTTGTTATGATGCAATCAGAGAGGGTTTGATTTGAACAGTTATATAGTATAGCTGAAGTTTGGGAAATGTAATTTATTCATTTAAAACTGATATTAAGGTAAAGGGCTTCGACAAATTAAAATGTATTGTTGTTATTGTCACTGCTCTTAAACAACTGTTCAAGTCCCTATTGCAATTGCAAGTCAAATGTTCAGTTTTTCAAAAAGATCTGTAATTCCCTCACCTTTACACACATATATATAAAGTCCTGTCAATTTACAGCAATTATGAAACAAGATACACTTATTTCAATTTTCATGTTTGCCTAAATGTTTTCGCGCGGGGGGGGGGGGGGGGGGGGGTGGACTGAATGTGGGAAGAAACCGGAGCACCTGGTGCAAACCCACGTGATGGTGAAAGCGAGTGCACTATCCAGTGCGCAACCGGACCACCTTTCACTGAATTATCTCCCATTTTACCCGTTTACCATATCTTTATCATCCCCAAGAGTATGACAGGTGGCACGCAAAATCCAAACATTACGGAGAATGAAGTCAGGGGAACAATAAATGATGACGTCACAATCAACTTCAGATGGGAGAGGTCAATTGCAAAACAAAGAAAGTATCTGATAAAAATAATAGGATAGGAGAAAATATCCCCTACTTTGATGATGTAACAGGGAAATCGTCGAACCTCGGGGTGGATGTTTGCGTGTATTAACCTCTGTCACACCCTCAAAATAGGAGGGGATTTTTATCAATTATGAAACTCAGATCAAGGGTATCTCTGAGGTACTATATGTATGTACGTCATCATCAATAACTGTATTATCACCGACGGAGTGACCAAGCTTACAGCAGGTCGCGAGCTAGGTCAGTTATAAGAAAGTTCTCTGATACGAAGATCTACAGTTGGGAGGAAACTTAACTTGATATCTAGTGCACTTCGTAGTGCACACGTAGTGAACAAGGAAGTGCACTTGACAAAACATTGAAATGCACTCCAGTTCACTT